AAGGGGAAGGGAAGGGGAGAGGAAGTGGAGAGTGGAGTGGGGAGACGGGGGAGGGGACTGAGGGAAGCAAAGGGGGAGAGAAGGAGGAGCAGCGTTACAAGGTGTGGGGGCACCGGATACCCTCACCTGGTTTAGCCCTGTGGTCGAGGCGTTTACCGTGCCGTGGCAAAGCCTAGCTTCGAGGAGCCACAAATGAGAGTTTAGTGCCAGTTAATGGAGGCTCGGCATGGTTAACACCTGCAAACTAGTGAAGCAACCTACCACGACCATCACGTGGACCTACAACTAGACACCCCTACTTCCCACTTATAGGTATTTCCTAACACCACGGCCCTTCCTGCAGTTGGCGCCGTCGACGCCACATCCATTCAAAGCATATCCGAGATTGTAGGAGAGTGTAGATTACAGACGTACAACATTTCAGGCAAAGAATGTGCGTTTCTCCAGGTCTGCGGCACATACAGCTTGTCGCCTGGTGACTAGCAATGAAAAATTGACAACCACTATTGTGAGAAGCGAAGAAGCCCGCTGTGACCCTTCCCAACTTGCCTGCTGAATTATGTCGTCCAAACACCATCTCCTGGGTTCCGGCGCACCCGATGTTTGCGTCCAGAATGTCTGGACCAGTCATCCTCTAAGCCAGGCGCCGTTACCACACGGAGTAGCTGACACATGCGTCGTCAAGTTCTGTCCGGATTAAACGAGACCACATAGGAATGGCGTCACTCGATCAGTCCTGGTAGGAAGAAGAGAGCGCGATTTTTCACTTTTCCCCTCTTTCTAAAGTGAATTCTGATTAGTTGTTACGATGCGTCTAAGGTCACTGAAAAAGAAGATCCTACAAAAAAATTCTGACATTCTCAGACATTTTTACCCTCCGTCCTGTGATATATCGGTTATTTAAAGTGGACAGTCATCTAACTGACTTCTGACGACTTCATCAGAAATCTGATTTGTGTCTCAACGCGTTCGGTTGTAAACTCCCATCCTACCCTTCCCCCCTCACCTCCCTCTCCCCATCCAAGATCACAATTTAGCTCCCTGTGGAAGTTTACTTTTTAACCCCTTTTTACAGAAGACATTGAGAGCAGCCGAGAGGCTGTCTTAGTCGTCGCTGATAATGATTGATCATTTGTGGTTTATCTAGTCTTCAACTGCAGTACTTTCACGTTTCAAGTCTTGGTTTCGTTCTGCGGCTGTGACACTGTCACTTATTCGAGTGCCTGTCCCACGTGCTTGCATGCTGTAGTTAAAGTACGCTCTACGTAGGCGCGAAAGTCGCCGTAAATTTCGACAGTATTTCTACCACGCCGTCTGTCAAAAGCCTGTCGGTGGCGACGGGGGGTTGCAGGCAGAAGGCTAAACGTCGATGCCTGGCTCCGTAAGTGTCTGACTACATGCATGTTCTAGGGCCATGACAGCAGCGTTTGTATTGCGCCAGAAGAGGTTTTCGGTGAGAGACTTAAAAGGCAGAAGACTGGAGGATTCGCAGGTTTGGCATCTGTCACTGCTGTGGCTGGGTGTGTGGGTTCAGCCATCGAGCGTGACGGACTGCTCGTGAAGGCTTGCGTGTTACGATGTTCTCCAGAGACCTTTCGGCAACCAGATGAAATGACTCCAGTTGGAGGTCATTCCTGAACCAGCTGTTGGAAGCTCCTTCTCCGTCCTTGTCAGACGCTGGACGAGCAGTGTACCAGCGTGTGCAAGGCCAGTTTTCGTTTTCCATCCCCTGGGCGGCATTCGAATCCAACTATGAGTCAGTAGCTTTGATTTTTTGGAAGATGAGAGTGAGAGTGTACCGATAGATACGAGCACGCGAGTCCCATAAAGCAATTTAGAAGAAGAAGAAGCGATCACTGGACCAAGAAGTCTATTGGTCTGACATTTCAGATTCTCACTCGAACACATAATCAGAGACAGTTGGAGATAAAGTTTACTCAGAGCGCTACAATTAACAGGCCAAAATCCCAGTTGTAGGAAAAGACAGGAGTCATCAGAATTGAGGAAGTTATTGTACACAGAAGCCGGATTTGTCCTTTCAGGCGGCAGTAGGTAGTGGAGAAGCAAAGACTAATTTTGATGGCGCTCGATCACGCCTGAGGCAGATGCTTTTGCGGGTTTGTGGGGAACAAGTCCAGGTGTCGTCCAATTGGCGTGGGTTGTTTTTGCCGAGGGACGGTGTGCCCGAGTGGCCGCATGGGCAGCTGCGGCTGTGCGGAATCACCACCGGTGTCCGAGCTGAAACCGGTCAAGTGGCTGCCGATCAGCGCGTCTGGAACCGCTGGATGAAACGATGAATGGCCTTGAGGCGCGGGGCCTCACTTTAAAAGAGAAATATGCTCGCCGCACTAACTAAACAAAAATACAACTAATTGAGACCGGGAGCTTGTGATTTTCCCACACAGGCATGCGCTTACTTGAATAAATAAAAGTACACAAAAACTGCGCATATATCCTTCCTTCGACTGACGCTCGGTCTGCATAGTGACACAATAAAGTAAAAAGTTAACTAGACAGAATTCGCGTACTGTCAAGTGTCATGTAGACCGTGAAGTTGGGTATGGCTGGATGGCTGGCTGGCTGACAAGAGGCAATAAACCAGAAATGACCAAGTCTCGACATTCTCCAGCCCCTCATGATTACTGGTTGCTATGCGACTGTCTGTGAGTGCTGTAGATCTAGCCCGAAGGCGTAACTGGACGAGCACGTTCCGTAACCTGATCGCTGAACGCATTTTCAACATAAGTAGATGTTCTCGATCGGGCTAGTAATGACAATGGGTCCTTGGTTCCATGGTAAAATGCCAGACGACGTAACGCACAATCACTGAAGAATCGGAGTTCCGATCGCATTTTGCCCAACCCTCGGGTAGTGTATGGCTGACCGAGGACGGCCAACACGTCGGAAATTTCCCCCTCAGTCTTCCCTGTCCTCGTCGGCATTTGTGTCGGAGTTATTATTGGTCACTAGACGGCTGTCTGCGGGAGTTCTGGACGAGCCTGCCTCATAACCCGATCGGTTAACGATACTTCCTTCTCCCTCCTGGTCAATTTCTAAATACTGTCACGAAGTAAGCGTTACATCTGGTGAAAAAATCCGTTGACTGCATCACTTGCAAACAGCATGTGAAGCAAAACGCAATTACGTAAATTTTCGGTTTTTTGCGGTTATAGCCAACAATGGGTTAGGGTAGTCAGCTACTTTTAAAATAGCATTGATTGCTTGAAATAGTAGACTTCTGTTCATTTACCAACCTTCTCACCCAGGGAACTCTTAAGATTTACATTACTAACCAACGTCAGAGCGTTCCTTAACTACTTATGTCGCCTTTTTGAGGGCTTCCGATTCTGTACTGAAAGCATCGAATCTTCCGTCGAGGTTCCCTGTGGGACCGGCATTCAGTTTGTTTGCTCTCCTCACAAGCATAATTGACTTTACCGAAATTCCCTCTAATCAGATACATTAACACCGGGGTTATTTTCATTTACGTTATTTGCCGACGGATCTAATTATCCTTGTTGAACCGGTAAACAAGTCTAGCTGTGACTGCATGAACACAATTTCGCCCTTCGGCGAAGTGGCAAACTGGCCCAGACAGTCGCGCCCTCACCTCTCCAGGGTATAATCTCGCTTTCGATCTTGTGGTCGTGTTTTTGGCCAATCGGATGACTCGAGTTCTCTTCAAGTGCGAAAAGTGTAAATGACGACTGTGCCGGCAGGCTTATCGATTTTACACTAGCGAAAACAAACCAAGGACACGGCTAAGTGTCAACTTCGAAGGAGTTGCGTTTGGATTTCAACCGATCTCTATGTTTTCATTTATCGTTAAGTATGGGTCTTTGCGAGTTGGGATTGTCAGGGGAATAGAATGATGGACACAGGGTCCGCTTCTTCTTCTTCTTCTTCTTCTTCTTCTTCTTCTTCTTTTCTTCTTCTTCTT